TTTTAAAGCCAACGAAGTCGCTAGAGGTAAAAATGCAGCCTCTACGCGGTGGGCGGTCAGCATAGCACCAATCGAAAAATGAAAAATGACGGTGACTTTTTCAAGCAATACAATTGAAACAAATACTAGCAATAAGAAAAGAATTGCCTTCCAAATACAGAAGGCAATACAAAAATCCGACAAGTATTTGCTGTGATACGACTGTGGAAAAACAAAAATGACCTAAAAACATCTAATGTCAGCGTGAAACACTTTTTCTGGGCTATTCTCGCTCTTAAACTTGGTTGAAAATGTTGCAAGAAAAACATGTCGTATTTTTTAGAGCTTTTGGTGAAATATATATGGCTGATAATTTTACGTTATTTCGTCAGGTCGAGGTGTTTTCACTTTATTTGACAATAGACTAATATTATTTCCACTCACAATAGTGTGTAGTCGTAATATTACTAATACAAAAGTGTGAAATTCAAAAAGGGAAGAAAAGTAGTGTACATACAGAAAGACTAAATTAATCACTGTTTTAAGTTTATTTTATTTGTTTTTAATGGTTCAAATTTTGAATACGTCACAAGCTAATCAGTAGTTAATAAATCATTATTTTTATGAATGTTATATGCACGAAATATATAACCGGGCATAAGTATGACAAAAAGAATAATTTTAAAAACCTTTTATGATGAGTATTTCAGTGGCAGATTCAAGGGGCCCAGCCGGCCCACCATCCCTAATTTTTTTTTTTTTTCGAAATTTAAAAGTGGAGAAAAATGAAAATCATATTCAAATTTAGTTTGAGAGCAGAGTGCCATTTCCGACCAACTAGAGGTGCCATAATCATAAATTTTCTTACCTCAGCCCCAACCATGGTAGGGCTGAGGTCGTCTACACTCTTCATCTGTAAAGGTCCCTCTCTGGGCCCAGCTCTATTTCAAATTACTGGATCCGCCACTGGATATTTTAAAATTTTCGTATGGAAATAAATGTTAATTGCATTGCTTAAAATCAATTAAAAGGCTATAGGCGCCAGAGCTTCGCAAATCCAGGTATTGTCTATCGTCACGAAAATAACATTTACCATTCAATAATAGAACAGTCATCGACCTACTTGTTATGATTATTTGAAGTGTTTCCACAATAATAGTTCAACCAACTTTAATACCACAAACACAATGTGCGTGACGATATTTTGTTGCTTTAGAAATGTGATTTCAAAAAAGTAGTGCATCGTATACGTAAGGGCTTCTTTTGTTGTTGTTTTTTTCACTTGCAGCGTTTGGGAAATAGGTAATAGGTAAATTGTAATGAATATAATCAATAATATTATATATAGCATCTAAAACCTATTATTATTATTGAAGGGTCCTTTTAAAGTTTAAATAGGATTTTTTAAGTTAAATTTTTGGATCATTAGACCTATTGAACGAGCCCCCAATAGCCCCGGGCCCCAGTGCTGTGCACTGACTGCACTGTCTATACCTACGCCACTGGACCTAAGTGGTTACATAATCATGCGCTATAGAAGTGGAAGACCATAATGTAGGCCTATTTGAATTATACCTCTCTCTCTCTCTGGTAGGGCCTACAGTACAATCAGTTTAAAAGTGTAAGGTATAGGATAGTGTGGATTTAAACATTTCCCTAATGGTAATGTTCAAAATAAGTCAAGGAAAGTAAGTATGATTGTTGGAAAAAATGGTCAACATTTTATTTTGAATTCTCACCCTGACCTTCGCCTGGGCGCAGTGGGCGAAGGTCTGGATCCGCGTCTAGTTAGCATGAATTTTGTAAGCCAGGACCCATAGTATTTTGTTACGTTTCTTCACATGAGGGGGGTTCGTCCGCCGAACCCCCTGAAACCCCCCCCCCCGGAACCGCCACTGATAATAATATGATGAAAATTACATAGAATTACATTGGAACACATTAAAATATTGCAAAGTAATCCTTATACATAAATTTACTTTACCATGTTATCTTTAATTGGAGAATTTCAGAATTTTATTTATTTTCAACAATGTGGAAAAATTGAAACACAGTTCCTGGACCAAACGAGACTATGACTTCCGAAAACATTTTTGGAAGCTAGAGAGCCCATAATGGGAAGAACTACTAAACTTATTAGCGAATCAAATTAAAGCAATGTCGATGATCAAAAAGATAAAAGTGAGAGTTTCTTATTAAATTAATATTAAAGAAGACAGTTGTACTTTATCACTGTGTCCCACTATACGGTAGCCAATTTGGCAACCATTGGACACAATAAGAAAGAATAGGGATAAAAAACAAATTTTTTTGCCGCATCAATTATTTTAACAGCATAACACAATGCTATTTTATGACTTCAGATGCATTTCTTTTTTAAAAAACTATAAAATTAAACCAGTTTTTATACAAAATTTACTATTACTAGCCAAATATAAATAGTCCCTCCCTCATCAATAAAAACAAAAGCGCAATAAC